GGATATGATCTCCATGTATAATACATAAGGGGGGATATGATCTCCATGTATAATACATAAGGGGGGATATGATCTCCATGTATAATACATAAGGGGGATATGATCTCCATGTATAATACATAAGGGGGATATGATCTCCATGTATAATACATAAGGGGGATATGATCTCCATGTATAATACATAAGGGGGATATGATCTCCATGTATAATACATAAGGGGGATATGATCTCCATGTATAATACGTAAGGGGGATATGATCACCATGTATAATACATAAGGGGGGATATGATCTCCATGTATAATACGTAAGGGGGATATGATCACCATGTATAATACATAAGGGGGGATATGATCTCCATGTATAATACATAAGGGGGGATATGATCTCCATGTATAATACATAAGGGGGATATGATCTCCATGTATAATACATAAGGGGGGATATGATCTCCATGTATAATATATAAGGGGGGGATATGATCTCCATGTATAATACATAGGGGGGGATATGATCTCCATGTATAATACATAAGGGGGGGATATGATCTCCATGTATAATACATAAGGGGGGATATGATCTCCATGTATAATACATAAGGGGGGATATGATCACCATGTATAATACATAAGGGGGGATATGATCTCCATGTATAATACATAAGGGGGGATATGATCTCCATGTATAATACATAAGGGGGGATATGATCTCCATGTATAATACATAGGGGGGATATGATCACCATGTATAATACATAAGGGGGGATATGATCTCCATGTATAATACATAAGGGGGGATATGATCACCATGTATAATACATAAGGGGGGGATATGATCTCCATGTATAATACATAAGGGGGGATAGGATCAACATGTATAATACATAAGGGGAGATATGATCTCCATGTATAATACATAAGGGGGGATATGATCACAATGTATAATACATAAGGGGGGGATATGATCTCCATGTATAATACATAAGGGGGGATATGATCACCATTTATAATACATAAGGGGGATATGATCTCCATGTATAATACATAAGGGGGGATATGATCTCCATGTATAATATATAAGGGGGGGATATGATCTCCATGTATAATACATAAGGGGGGGATATGATCTCCATGTATAATACATAAGGGGGGGATATGATCTCCATGTATAATACATAAGGGGGGATATGATCTCCATGTATAATACATAAGGGGGGATATGATCACCATGTATAATACATAAGGGGGGATATGATCTCCATGTATAATACATAAGGGGGGATATGATCTCCATGTATAATACATAAGGGGGGATATGATCTCCATGTATAATACATAAGGGGGGATATGATCACCATGTATAATACATAAGGGGGGATATGATCACCATGTATAATACATAAGGGGGGGATATGATCTCCATGTATAATACATAAGGGGGGATAGGATCAACATGTATAATACATAAGGGGGGATATGATCTCCATGTATAATACATAAGGGGGGATATGATCACAATGTATAATACATAAGGGGGGGATATGATCTCCATGTATAATACATAAGGGGGGATATGATCACCATTTATAATACATAAGGGTGATATGATCTCCATGTATAATACATAAGGGGGATATGATCTCCATGTATAATACATAAGGGGGGATATGATCTCCATGTATAATACATAAAGGGGATATGATCTCCATGTATAATACATAAGGGGGGATATGATCTCCATGTATAATACATAAGGGGGGATATGATCTCCATGTATAATACATAAGAGGGGATATGATCAACATGTATAATACATGAGGGTGGATATGATCTCCATGTATAATACATAAGGGGGGATATGATCTCCATGTATAATACATAAGGGGGGATATGATCTCCATGTATAACACATAAGGGGAGATATGATCACCATGTATAATACATAAGGGGGATATGATCACCATGTATAACACATAAGGGGGGATATGATCTCCATGTATAATACATAAGGGGGGATAAGATCTCCATGTATAATACATAAGGGGGGATATGATCTCCATGTATAATACATAAAGGGGGGATATGATCTCCATGTATAATACATAAGGGGGATATGATCTCCATGTATAATACATAAGGGGGGTATGATCTCCATGTATAATACATAAGGGGGGGATATGATCTCCATGTATAATACATAAGGGAGGATATGATCAACATGTATAATACATGAGGGTGGATATGATCTCCATGTATAATACATAAGGGGGGATATGATCTCCATGTATAATACATAAGGGGGGATATGATCTCCATGTATAACACATAAGGGGAGATATGATCACCATGTATAATACGTAAGGGGGATATGATCACCATGTATAACACATAAGGGGGGATATGATCTCCATGTATAATACATAAGGGGGGATAAGATCTCCATGTATAACACATAAGGGGGGATATGATCTCCATGTATAATACATAAGGGGGGATATGATCTCCATGTATAATACATAAGGGGGGATATGATCTTCATGTATAATACATAAGGGAGGATATGATCTCCATGTATAATACATAAGGGGGATATGATCACCATGTATAATACATAAGGGGGATATGATCTCCATGTATAATACATAAGGGGGGATATGATCTCCATGTATAATACATAAGGGGGGATATGATCTCCATGTATAATACATAAGGGGGGATATGATCTCCATGTATAATACATAAGGGGGATATGATCACCATGTATAATACATAAGGGGGGGGGATATGATCACCATGTATAATACATAAGGGGGATATGATCTCCATGTATAATACACAAGGGGGGGATATGATCACCATGTATAATACATAAGGGGGGATATGATCTCCATGTATAATACATAAGGGGGGATATGATCACCATGTATAATGCATAAGGGGGGATATGATCTCCATGTATAATACATAAGGGGGGATATGATCACCATGTATAATACATAAGGGGGGATATGATCTCCATGTATAATACATAAGGGGGGATATGATCTCCATGTATAATACATAAGGGGGGATATGATCTCCATGTATAATACATAAGGGGGATATGATCTCCATGTATAATACATAAGGGGGGGATATGATCTCCATGTATAATACATAGGGGGGATATGATCACCATGTATAATACATAAGGGGGGATATGATCTCCATGTATAATACATAAGGGGGATATGATCTCCATGTATAATACATAAGGGGGATATGATCTCCATGTATAATACATAAGGGGGATATGATCTCCATGTATAATACATAAGGGGGATATGATCTCCATGTATAATACATAAGGGGGGATATGATCTCCATGTATAATACATAAGGGGGGATATGATCTCCATGTATAATACATAAGGGGGGATATGATCTCCATGTATAATACATAAGGGGGGATATGATCACCATGTATAATACATAAGGGGGGATATGATCTCCATGTATAATACATAAGGGGGGATATGATCACCATGTATAATACATAAGGGGGGATATGATCACCATGTATAATACATAAGGGGGGATATGATCTCCATGTATAATACATAAGGGGGGATATGATCACCATGTATAATACATAAGGGGGGATATGATCACCATGTATAATACATAAGGGGGGGATATGATCTCCATGTATAATACATAAGGGGGGGATATGATCTCCATGTATAAATACATCAGTGGTTCATATAGTGAACTCGGTGTAGAGTTATTCCCCCTGAGGTCATCACAGAGGACAAGGGGGCGCTCTTTACATCTGGAGGAAAAGAAATGTAATCTCCAAACACGGAAAGGTTTCTTCACAGTGAGAGCTGTGAGAATGTGGAATAGACTCCCTCAAGAGTTGGTTCTAGCCAGTTCAGTGGATTGCTTCAAAAAAATACTGGATTTGTTTCTCAGATACACAGAATATAACTGGATATAACATTTATAGGTAAAGTTAATCCAGGGAATATCCGATTGCCTCTCAAGGGATCAGGAAGGAATTTTTTCCCTTGCAGGAGCAAATTGGATTATACTTTGCTGGGTTTTTTGCCTTCCTCTGGATCAACTGTGGGTGTAGGATTATGACTTTTTTTTTTTCTGTGGTTGAACTGGATGGACTTTTGTCTTTTTTTAGCCAGACTAACGGTGTAACTATGTAACTTGTTCCATGCCTTCTGGGCATGTCCCAAGATTAAATGATTCTGGAAACACAATTGGTGCATTATGCTACCACACACTTAGTAAACTACCTACCCTCTAATCCCTGAATGGGCACTATTTGGCCTAATCATCAACATACCAGGTGTTAAAATCTCAAGAGGATGTAAACAACTCCTAATTGTCATATCCCTTCGAGCAAGAAAAAACACTTTACATAAGTGGATCCATCCAGAACCCCCCCACCGTTTCTTTGTTTATAAACAAACTGGCATGGCAAGGGTGGAAGCCTCCTTGCATAAGGAGTCACCTGTCCAAAAATTATTTGATATCTGAGAATCTTTCATTCATACCTTGCCTACAGATAACCAAAATCAATAGTACAATGTTTTCAGTATACACAGTGGTTTCAGACTAGACCAGGGGCGGACAGACCATTTGGGAAACTCGCGCACTGCCCGAGGGCCCGGGGTCAGTAGGGGGCCCCATGAGATGCCCCTGGTACCTTTTTCATAGGCTTTTTTGAGTTTGGGCAAGGACACAGGGGCCCCATGATCCCCTATTACCCAGGGGCCCCATGAGTTCAGTCAGTCCGCCCCTGGACTAGACCTGTTAACCAATGACCCTCCAATTGATATCCTACCCTCCAATTAAAATTAACATATATTTTATGCTTTAGCAGCTAAAGTCTCTCCTCATTCCATCATCTGCTAGTTGTTAAACCAACCGCCATCCATCTTTTTTTTTTTTCCTTCTGTTTCTTAACCTCCCTGGCGGTATTTCCCGAGTGTAGCTCGGGGTAAAGTTTCAGTACCAAAAGCGGTAACCCCGAGCTACACTCGGGCTTACCATGCAGCGCTGCATAGGGATTCCTTGCAGAGCTTACCTTGACCTTCGCTCCCGCGATGTCCCCCCTGCAGCGTCCCCCGGCCATCTCCTCCGGCCGATGCCGGCATCCGGCTTCCGTGTTTCCTGTCCCTGCGAGCGTCGGGACGTACGGGCACCGGAACCGGCGGGAAATTAAAAAATTTTAAAAACTGTCATTTTTATATATAAACGAATATTACATAGCAAAACATTCCTGTATCAAACCATTTCACATACATTTTGTCCCGAGTGCTTTGTCCGGCGCCCTGCCTGCATTTTTACTGTTCTTTCTGCCTGGAAACTGAGAAATGTCCATGGCGTCCAAAAAGCGTCCCTTTAGGTCAAAAGCGGTTTTAGACCGGCTAGAGAACAGCGATAGTAAATCAGAACCACTTGCAGAATTGAGTGATAATGATTCGTGGGGGAAATTCCTCATCAGACACTGAAAACGATTCTGCGACTTTGCTCAGCGATGTGCGAACTTGGAGCTCTATTTCAAATTTCAGTGTTTTTGGTTTGATTTATTATTGAATTAAATTTATTATTATTATATTATTTATTTTTTATGATTATTTATTAAATTATAATTTATGATTTTGTGTTTCAAGTTTTATCATACCCGGGATGTCTACTAGACTCTTGTTCGGACAGATTTCAGTGAGATATTCCTAAAAAATTACAGGCCTACAATAAAAAAACAACATATTTCCATGCAAAAAAAAGTACCGCTTTGAGCACAGAAATATGGACATAATCAGACCGCTAGGGAGGTTAATGTCCATCCCTTCACCCAGCACTGATACCTGGTTCTCATACTATAATAACAAACTGTATGTTTTCAATTTTATATTGTCCTACTGGCCAAATGTTGTGGCTATTTGTTAACTGCATTCTCGCATCAAAAAAATAAAATTAAAAATAAATAAAGTGTTCCTTTAATTTTTTTTGAGCAGTGGGGTTCTAAGTCATTTTGTAGCATTTTTACGTAGGAGAGGAATGTCCAAATAGGCCTGGTCTTAAAGTGGTTAAAGACGTTTCTAAATGCAGCCAGTATTTTATATTATTATTTTTATTTTATTATTATGGAGCAGAGGGATGACCTCATCAATCTTTTTCTGCTCCTTTAGTGTCCAAATACAGGTTGGGTACACAGGGGTGACCAGGATGTGTTGCTTAACCACAGCATAGAGAATTCCAATCACCAACCTGGCTGCGCTGTCTGACAGAGCTCAAGATCTCAAGGCTGGATGAACAGAAATACAAATCCATTGAGAGCTCCCCATATGCCTCTCATATGTGTATTTATCTGTTTGCCTGAAATTCAGCTGTAAAGGAGACATTTTATTGGGTGACACGTAAGAGGCCTGCAGTATTCCCCAGTGTTCGTCACAGATCATTGAGCCCTTTGTCACGCCAGCCTTGCCCACAGAAAAACTTGTCAATATCCCTCCCTGTCGGCTGAAGCCTGCAATTCCCACCATCTGCCTCCCATTACACCGACGCAGGCAGGAGTATGTGTGGCTGCAATGCGCACAACCGTGAAGGTACAAACCGGCGGCTCCGGGCTACTCGGGGTCAAGTGCGGCAGAAGAAAAGATTTATTTGTCACTTTTCTGGCCAGCTTTGCATTTTGTATGGAAGCCGGGTTATTTTCAGATAATAAAAGTCACGTGTTTTGCATTTTGGCTCACGCGCTGGACCGCAGCGTGCGCCAATGAGCATAATCTCGCTGTATGCACTCTGCCCGCCGTCTTCCAGGAGTCACCGCTGCAAACAGAATAATAGACAAGTGTTTTTTATTATTGGCGTGTACTGTAATTTGAAAAGGTTCTCTTAAGACGTGTGGAATGAAAAGAAAGCTCCCTTTTTTTTTTGGTGGTGGATTGTCCAATCCTTTTTTTTAACTGAGCCATACTCTCCTCGGCTGCATCCATGGCTCCTAACAAGCAGCTCTTGGGGGATAATTCAATTTTCCAAGTGAAGAAAGAATTTTATGATCCTTTGATGGCTGTGTTATGGATAGATTTAGAAAAGAAGGCCATTTGACGTTAAAAGTTATTTTCAGATTGGTATAAAACTGATCCATACTTTTCAGTCACATAGAGGACTTCCAGGAGAGTGTCAGCGCAGGGCCTGTTGCCCACCAGCAGACCTTCAAGGGTGACAGTGAAAGGGTTAAAGCATCACTCTAGGCTTAAGGCAAAGAACAAACCAAATCATGGCTAAAGTTGGGGGGGTATATAAAGGATGAGGGGGGTTAGTTGACCTATCTTCTAAGAATGCTAGTTGCCTGGCCATTACATAGATGGAGCCAAGCTTTGGAGATGACAGAGAAAGGGGGTAAAGGGTCGCTCTGGGCTCAAAGGCAAAGAACAAACCAAATCAAGGCTAAAAGGGGTGGGGGTTGTATAAAAAATGGGGGTAGTTGACTTTTCCTTCTAAAAATTTTTAGTTGCCTGGTCATTATATAGATCCTCAAGCCATAGACTAAGCTCTGACTCACTTGGCCACCTAATCTGGATCTTTTGAGTATACATCTCTTTGCCAGGGCTTGAGGGAGCACAGGGGGCTTAGTGGTTAGCACTTATTCCTTGAAGTAATGGGGTCCTTGGTTTGAATCTCAGCCAAGACACTATATGAAAGGAGTTTGCATGTTCTTTCCTTGTCTCTGTAGGTTCTCATTGATCTAGATCATGGTACATCTAGTATTAATATTATTATTATACAGGCTTTATATAGCGCCAACAGTTTGCTCAGCGCTTTACAATATAACGGGAGACAATACAGTAACAATACAGTTCAATACAAGAAGAATTTGAAGGTCCTGCTCCTTGGAGCGGTCAATCTAGGAGGGAGGGGCTAGTGGTACAAAAGGTAGTAACTGTGGGGGATGGACTGGTAGGAAGAGTAGAAGATTCCAGTATTAGCTGAGGGCAGGATAGGCTTCCCTGAAGAGATAGGTTTTCAGCGATCACCTAAAAGTGAGCAGAGTAGGCGATAGTCTAATAAATTGGGGTAGAGAGTTTCCAGAGGATGGGGGATGCTCTGGAGAAGTCTTGGAGATGAGCATGGGAGGAGGAGACAAGGGAGCTAGAGAGTAGGAGGTCTTGCGAGGAGCGGAGAGTACAGTTTGGGTGATATTTAGAGACAAGATCGGTGATGTAATTTGGGGCAGAGTTATAGATGGCTTTATATGTTATTGTTAGTGTTTTGAATTTTATCCGCTGGGCAACAGGAAGCCAGTGAAGGGATTGGCAGAGAGGGGTGGAGGACACTGAGTGGAGGCCAGTGGAGGGATTGGCAGAGAGGGGTGGAGGACACTGAGTGGAGGCCAGTGGAGGGATTGACAGAGAGGGATGGAGGACACTGAGTGGAGGCCAGTGGAGGGATTGACAGAGAGGGGTGGAGGACACTGAGTGGAGGCCAGTGGAGGGATTGGCAGAGGGGGGTGGGGGACACTGAGTGGAGGCCAGTGGAGGGATTGGCAGAGGGGGGTGGGGGGACACTGAGTGGAGGCCAGTGGAGGGATTGGCAGAGAGGGGTGGAGGACACTGAGTGGAGGCCAGTGGAGGGATAGGCAGAGAGGGGTGGAGGACACTGAGTGGAGGCCAGTGGAGGGATAGGCAGAGAGGGGTGGAGGACACTGAGTGGAGGCCAGTGGAGGGATTGGCAGAGAGGGGAGGCAGATACAGAATGGTTAGTAAGGTGAATGAGTCTGGCAGCAGAATTCATGATAGACTGAAGAGGGGATAGACTGCGATGAGGTAGGCCAATGACAGTAGTAGTTAGCCACATTCAACTGGACTTGTTCTCTAATGTTGACCATGTTTTCCAAACGTATCCAAGCCACTTCTTAGGTTCTAAGAAGGTCAAGAAGATATAGTATACAATATAAGAGGGCTGTACTGAATAGGAGGTTCTTAGGTTCTAAGAAGGTCAAGAAGATATAGTATACAATATAAGAGGGCTGTACTGAATAGGAGGTTCTTAGGTTCTAAGAAGGACAAAAAGATATAGTATACAATATAAGAGGGCTGTACTGATGCAATAGTGGGCATTAAAACAGAGAGCAAAAAAAGTGAGCGCTTTCGATAGACAAGCAGCGGAAGCACACAGGATAACCAAAAAAAAAATCCTCACATGAAAATAAAATATAAAGTGCAGCGCTAAAAAATATAAATGTGACACAAAAATATATATTCATAAGAAAGTCCCAATAAAGGTGACCTAGGGTAACAATGAACACTGACCAGAAGTGCACATAAATAGTGCAATGTAGCAAAGATGGAGTTCAGAAAGTAGTCATCAGCATGGAGAGGTTAGATGTATTCCCTTGATCAATGAAGGTCCGCACGATGAAAACATAGCTGGGCAGAATAAATCCACTGGATGGCAAAAAAAAGGAATCACGGCTCCACCAAAGAAAGCACAACTCCTCCACTGCACATCAACGATATCTAAGAAAAAATGCTCCCCACAAGGGATCAAGAAAAAATGCCCATAGTGAAGTATAGTTAAAACTTGTTTATTGGGATAAAGCAGGATGCATCCAGTAAAATGGCAAAAAAGCTAGCACACATAAACACTTTTGCAATACTTTCGGTACAGTCCCCACATACCAACATCTTAAAAATAGAATTCTATCCAATTCAATATACCAACACCTTAAAGTAGAATTCCATCTTTAATATCACTTTAAAATAGTTAGTTTGGGCCAAGCTGACATCATCCACTTGCCTCTCCACTTTGGCCAATCAGAGGAAGTCTTGTATTCATTAACCTCCCTGGCGGTATTCCCGAGTGTAGCTCGGGGTAAAGTTTCAGTACCAAAAGCGGTAACCCCGAGCTACACTCAGGTTTTACCATGCGGCGTTGCTCAGGGATTCCCTGCAGTGCTTACCTTGTCCTTCGCTCCCGCGATGCGTCCCCTGCAGCAACCCCGGCCATCTCCTTCCAGCCGATGCCGGCATCCGGCTTCCGTGTTCCGGGCCCTGTGACGTTGGGACTACGGGCGCCGGAACCGGTGGCAAATTTGAAATTTTAAAAAATGTAATTTTTTTTAAAAATGATTATTACATAGTTAAACATTGCTGTTTCAAACCATTTCACATACATTTTGTCCCGAGTGCTTTGTCCTGCGCCCTGCCTGCATTTTTACTGTTCTTTCTGCCTGGAAACTGAGAAAAGTCCACGGCGTCCAAAAAGTGTCCCTTTAGGTCAAAAGCGGTTTTAGACCGGCTAGAGAACAGCGATAGTAAATCAGAACCACTTGCAGAATTGAGTGATAATGATT